CTGCTAGAATACTCAGATAAAATCCATTCTACACTGGCCATGCACACATTTCAAAGCTGTGTTAGTCCTGTCTGCTCAGCTCCTCCTCCAGTCCAGGCTGGGTTTCTCTCCTCTCATAGACCCCTGAGAAAATGTGAGACAGGCTCATAGGTCAGACTTGTCACTTCTTTTGTGCTGCCATCCAAATGTAATGTTCCACATGTCATCCCCAGGTATCAAAACCTTAAGAACTTCATTGCAGAGTTAACTGAGCTGAAGTGCACCAGCTATACCATGGACAGAAATGGTTACTGCACAGAGTTGGCATTTTCACAGGAGCCCAAGGAGCTTAGGCCTCTCATGACCAACAATTATCCAACAAGGAGTAATTACTGTCTTCAGGCTGGTTTTAAAATCCTATAATTAATAACTACATTAAAGTAGAAGAACACAAAGCAAATGATGGTGAATTTTGTAAGATGTTCAGTTCTTCCTCTCTCAAATTCCTCATCTTGGAGTACCTGATTTTAAAATTTCAATGTTCTAATTTTGTACTTTTCTATATCTAGGTTGCTGTGATTTTTTCAACAGGAGAAAACAGGGGAAGAAAAAAGAGCCATTTATCTAGAAGACTCTCTTAAACTTAAGTGCAAAAGCAAGATTCCCAAAAGACTTTTCCATCATCCCTGTAACAGCACAGCCTAACAGAGTCTGAACATTTTAACAGCTAGTGATGAAACACCACAAAACAATCCAAACCCTAACAAAGCTAACTGACTGTAAGATGGACTGCTCTCTCCATGGATGACCCCTTTGGGCCCAAGCCCAAGCTTAAAATGCTTCAGTCCTCAATTAGAGAGAGATTTAATTCTCTCAGTTGTCACTGAAGAGCTGAGTTGACCATTCTGGACAGTGAAGTCCCCTGTTAAGTGGCAAAAGGGTAGAAAACACAGAGGACAAACCAGAGGAACACCTACAAGACCCCTTTCCTACTTCAGCCCAGGGGCTTTGCACTGACCAAAGCCAGCCCACCACCAAGGCAGCACCAAGAGCTCTTCTCCAAAAATAGCACTTGGATGATCACATCAAGAACTCTTCTCCAAAAATAGCACTTGGATGATCACCCAGTTTAACAGATTTGGCAATAGATCCTAAACTTGCTTGTCAGATGCATGAGATCTTTTAGAATCATACAAATAAATTAAGCATAAGAGATGAATTCTCTTCATCTAACAGCCTTCTGCCTCCTGAGGACAGCAAAAAGCAACCAGACATGGCCATGTGAAAATATGGATGGGTGAAAACCCACCTCAAATTCCAAACCTTACTCTCTCTTTGCCCCAGTAAGCTGCTCTTAAGTATCTGCATCATAGTCTGTTCCTCCCACTGGTATTCTTTATAATCTCCTGAGAGCAGGTCTTCAGGGTGGGGGCTGTTGCAAACAATTCTAGGGCATTTTTGCACAGAAATTTGTAAAATGAGGTCACAGTCTCCAGTGGGACATTTATTTGCATTACTGAAGTACCTCAGCAAGTGAGAAATAATGGAAACCACTAAAAATCAAAGCTGTGTTGAGGTGGGTGGAGAACACACAAAAGTGCTTTCTAGGCATTTTAACAGGATATATGAACATACTTTAAGATAAAATAAGCTGTCTTAAGACAACTTAAGTGCCTTTAATTGAGCAGTGAGGTATGTATCATCAGGTTTAGAGCCACCTTTGACCAACTGATTCACATTATTTGAGCTACTCTGAAATTCTCATTGGTTATAGGAAGAAAATTTCCCCAGATATACATCAATGAACACCTAAAAAGCCCCAAAGAGCAGTCTAGCAACCCACCAAGGGAGCAACAAAAACTGCACAGTTAAAGGAATGACACTGAAAAGAGTCATTCTGGGCAAAGCATCCTTGCAAAGGCTAGTCTTTCATTTCTTCCAACTTTTTCTGTTAAACGTGTATTTTTATAGAAGTAAGTAAAATAAATCATACATGAAGCACTGCTGGCTGAAAGTAACCATGTATATGCACAAAAAACATTGGTTTCTCCTATAAATTTCAGCTCTTTGGTTATTCACTTGCTTAGGAAGTAAGAAACTCTCATGACACATTGTCACTTGGCCAGTCACCTCTGCTTTAGAGTTCCTAGAATCCACAAAAATATTCCTTCAGACTTTATTCTTCAAAGACACTTCTGTCCAAAACACAGAATCCTAATATAGAAAAAAGAAATCCAAAAGAAGGAATTCCTCAGTATTTTGATATTCTTGTACACAGGCACTGTCCATTTTTATTGCTCCTTGTGTGCCAGGTCAGAACTGGTGTGGACTGAGAGATGTGAAGCTCTCAGAAGTAAATCTCACTGCAGAGTCTGCTCCCCAGGATGGCTGCTCTTTCCTCACCTGAGTTCCTGGCTGTGAAGCTGCTGCACCTGAGCAACCCCAGCAGGCCTGGCAGCTAGACATTTCAACATCATTATTAATTGAGCCACATAACATGCCTACAAAACAGGTAATATTACACTCCTTTTCAGATACAAAAGAAAAGCACAGATAATTTCTCCATGCTTTGTTCCTTATCTACCCAGTGGCAGAGCCATTGAAACCTAGGAGTTCTTATGTTACCCCTCTGTTCCTTTTACTATGTGCCACAAGAACTGTCTCCAGACCTCACCTGATGTTGAAAATGCAATAAAAAGGATGCACCCAAACTGAGATCCCCTCTGACCCAGTCGTGTCTCAGAATTTAGGGTGAGAAAACTAACCTTGTGGGTTCTCAGCATTTACACAGATATAGGAGACATGATGGAACAGTCTTACCATGAATTGATTCTTATAATGTTGAGTGTTTCTTGTGCTGCCTGCAAAAAATTATGACTGTTCATGTGAAGAACTAGAAGGGGAGAGTGAATCCTTTCCTATACTTCTAAAAATCCCCATTTCAAATCAGCAGCCCCCAAATATGAGAGTTAGCAAGTCCATGTTCACTAAAAGTAATGGAAAGAATTCCTGACAACATGCAACATGTTATTTACTGGCTCTTACTTGTCAAGGAGAAGTTCCAGTACTCCCTTAGTAGATGCAAAGGCTCTGTATGTTGAGAGAAAGATATTGATGTAGGTAAAATCATTATCCCCAAAAGCTGTCAGAAGGTTTTCCACAAGTTTCTCCAAAGTTCCAGCTTTTATAGTCCTGATCTTGCATGTTTCATACTGGCTGATGGTATGTTCTGGAGGTAACTGGTCTCCTTCACCCTACAAAGTTGAAACAAAAATAAAGCACAGAAATCAGACAGAAGCCAGATGCCTAACACAGGTTTCATGAGGAAACACAGATCAAATTCCAGCTTTTCCCAGAAATAGTCCATCTGTAACTACTGAACTACTTGGTCAATGTTGGCAACACAAAATGTTGTATCAAACAATGGAGGTTTTTAGGAAGTTTATGCTTAAGAAATGTCTCTGACAGGCTCCACAAGATATTTTATACTCTGACTGCTATCAAGTTATTTTATGATCCCACCATATGTATCATATCTAAAAGAAAATCCATTATCCCACAAAGAATATTGCTAGAGGGAACAAGAGTGGTAATTCAGTGTCTTACTTATCTTCTAAATAAACATAAAAAACATCTCAGGATACTTTTGCAAGCAAACGTGCTATCAGGGCACTTCAGTTTCCTCTTATAGTTTGTTTGCCACCTTATTTGTCAACAAACCTAGGGTTTGGTGTTTGGGGGGGTGTGTTGTTTTTTTAAAAAGCATTTGTTTTCAGTACTTACAGCCTGCTTGAAATCCCAAATAACTAGAAACATTCCCTAAATTCTGCCACTATTTAGAGAACCTCTCAGAAAAGTATTTTTGTGACTGGTCTAAATAGATATTTGATAATTATGTGTGATAAAAAGCTTTAAAAATGGGATTATAAATAAAAAAACACCACCAAGAACAATCTAACAGGAAATTTCTCTCCCCCTTCTGAGTTGACTGTAAGAAGGAGCAGCTGACACAAGAAAAGACAGACTTCTATCTACAGAGGCAGCATGAGGAAACCTCCAGGTCCCCTTCCATTGCTGCAGTTCACCAGAGACCAAACCTGCATCCTCAGCTTGAGAAAAAGGTGCTTTGGTGCATCTGCTCTTTCACCTTGATCCCGATTACAGGACATGCATCATCACTGCTTAATCACTCTAATCACATATCACCAGCACTAATAAAACTCCAGCAATAATAAAAGTCCTTCTTGAGAAAAAGAAGTGGTTTGAGTCCATTGGAGTGTCTGCAGCCACGAATAAAAAGAAAAATGCTGTCAAAAATCCCCAGGCATCACTATGATTTATGTAAATAAACTATGAGAAGGTCATTTTCATGCTAATAACTTGTGGTCACTACCAACTCTGGCTTGGTATACAAAGAAAACACAAAAGATTAATCCATTCATAAAAGAATTAAGAACAGAAAACTCACCCATGTCATACATACACCACTAACTTCCACTGCTTTTGAATTATTTACAATAGATATCCCTTTTTGCTTTAAACACTATACATGATGTAAATATTATTCTGAAGCTCTGTTGCTCTTGCACAAGGACATCCCCTTTCCCAGCTTAATGAGGTCAAACCAACCTCTGATGTCACATTAAAATACAACCTATTGTCTGTATTAAAAACAAACAAACAAGTAAAAATCAAAACAAAACAAGCCCAACCAACAACAGGCTAGAAATGGAAAAGAAAAATAAATGGGAACAACAGCTTCAGCAACTCTAAGCAGAAGAGTGGATTATTTTTTTCTAGCAGTACCCTGTGATGTTCTGGACTTTCTAGGAAGTGGGCCCAGGCACAGGTTTTTGGCAGAAAAGTGCCTCTGTCTGTGTCTGTATGAAGCCTTGGAAGAGCCAGGAACATCCTGTAGGATCAAGACACAGGGACCTGCCAACAGACTGCAAAGAGTATGCACAGGAGGTGAGCAGAGGTCCTAGGAAACTTGCAGCCATGTCACAACTGCAAGATGGCACCATTTCATATTGAGTTGAAGCTCTTTTTTTTTTGCCCACCTGCCACAGCAAACTGAGCTGGGAAACTGGTCCAGCCAAAGCCAGGCCCTTCATTTCACTTGGTGGGCTCAGGTTCAACTCCTAGACTAGTTGCCCAACTTTGTTCACCCCACAGCTGCAGAAACACACAGGCTGACACAGGGAAAACTGGTGTATAACTTGTTATATATCTGACTTAAAGGTGTAAATAAAATTCTATATGACACCACCATTACAGAAAACACCATTACAGAAGAAAAATCTTGTTACCAGCACAATATATCTCCCCCATTTTAATCTTCTCTAAGCAAAACTTGCTTGGAAAAAGAAATGCTACATTTTCTTGCTCACTTTTCACCTTTCAATTACAATACATTTTTGAAAGTAACTAGCTGCACAATGCAACTGCTTTCAAACAGAGAATAAAATCTGCACCACTTCATTTAACTCTTGATTTTCCACCCAGCAGACTGCCCCATGTGCTTACTTAGACATATTCTACTCAGTGTGTGTTTAAAAACCTCCAGTTCACTGATGTGATTGTGTACCAGCCAAGGGCAGGATCTGATTCCAAGATTGATACATGCACATTTTCCATTAATTGCAACACTGCAACTTCCCCAAGACATCATGTTGGGAGAATGATTTAAAAAACACCAAAAAACTAACCTCCCCCCCCCAAAAAAAGGGGCAAAACAGAAAACAACCCCCAACCCTGGCAGTCGAAAATGGAGTTTGTCAGCAAAACATTAAGCTGCTAGAAATCATTTGGAGAGGCTTTTAGGAATTGTTTGTATTTGTATGATTTTAGCAATTCTGCCTGTAAGTTGAAAAGGAAAAAGGACTTGGCAGAGGAGCCAAATAACAGACGTTCAGAATAAGACATTGTGGGCTGAGTTAGCAGGCTAACAGGAAACTGCTCAGTCTGGATTTAATCAAGAAACCATCTCCTCACTGACATAACCAGGCTACCCAAAGGCAAAAGAGTTTTCATGTTTGCTTTGGTGTTGTCTGCTCAGATGAGCACTGGATCTACTCCTAGGAAAAGAGACTCCTAAAGCTCTTTGCAAGTTTTGCTGCGCAGTGATCACTCTTACATGGTACCAATTCAAGTTTGCACTGTTTTGTGCAGCAAAACAACAAGAAAGGCTTTCCAGCTCCTTCCATTTGTCTCCTGGCAGCCTTACATTTGTGCCAGACCCCAACATCTCAGGGCTTCAGGAGGATTTTTTGAGTCCTCAACAAGGCTAAGAATAAATGAATATATATGGCACATTATAGCCTGATTTATTCTGTGTTTAAAAAACAGTGTCACTTTGATTCTTCAGACAATGGATTATGACCTTGATAATACTTAAGTGTAAATGAGGGGCAAATAAATTCCTGCCAGAGAGACAGCATCTTCCAAGAGCAAATACATAAAGACTGAACTCAAGGAGCCTGGAAAGTCCTCACTTTTTTAGCCTGTGCAGGTTTGGATCTGGTGTAATCTTAACATCTTTATTAATCTGTACCTTCTGAGGGGCCCACTCTCTTTTAAGGCAAGCATCTTACAGCTTCATGGCACAAAACATTGCCCACATAGACAGCTCTTGCTGAAACAGGAGAGCAGCCCAAAAAACACTGGGGTTGAAACGTTCCTTCCGACACAAACCGGCTCCAAAAGCAGCTGCAGATGCCTGGTGCTGAAGGAGATGTAATTCAGTCCCAAGCTGGTTACAATCAAGGTCCTGCCCTTGCCCCGAACCCCCACGATCTCCCTGACTCACCCAGAAGTTGTGAAAGTGCAAGATAACCCAGCACACAATGACAGGATGGGGAAAAGATACGAGGATCAGCACAACATCCAACAGGCGTCTTCTCTCTGCTCCAGCCCCCGAGCAGGCAGCTCCTGACTCCCCAGCACCTTGGGACTGTGAGTGAAAACAACCCTCCCGTAGGAATCTGGTGAAGACTCCACGTGTAACCTTTGATTCCACAATCTCCATCAGTCCTTCTCTGCCAGAACTGGCCAAGGTGGCCTGAGCTCTCCCCATTTTCCCTTCCAGCGACAGGGAAATAAAGCAAAACCTCCACACGTCCCCAAATTGCCACACATTTCACCCAGTTTGGCAGCCAAAACACAGACCTAAATCCCACAGCCTTCTGGGCCAAAGGTACAAACCCTGTTAACCTGCAACATTAGGAATGAATTATAAGCTCCACCACCTCCTAAGTTACATCCCAGCAAGGGGGAGTAGAGACTCCATGTAAATAGAATAGTTCAACTCCTGAACAGCACAAAAAGAGGCTGCTACCCCAACAATGACACACAGACTTGTAGCCATTATTTCAGAAACATCAATTAAAAAAAATAAATCACTTTTATCCCAAAGAAACCAGTGGTCTGAAGGTTTTTTCCCCAATACAAACATTATCTGTTGAGATTCTGAAAGCAAGAATAATGGAATGAAATCGATGTCATTGTTTTGTCATCAGGAAAAAAACACTGAGAACTGGGCTGAACAATAAGTAAATGAGGTACCAAATATTCTTCAGGCTTAGTCATCTAAAACACAACCATTTTACTGAAGACTTGTTTTATTTAGAAACCTTGCAGAATTATTTTCAAGAGCACCTAACTAATTAGTGTCTCCTAAACTCCATTATTACCAGTTTTGACAGATTTTAAAGACTCTCTTTGGAATTTACAGCTTTTTTCAGACAGAGTTTTACACTCTAGCTATTTTATTACCTTACTGGAGAGAAAACTTATGCTGGAATAAATCTTCCCAAAGTGCAGTAACTTCTAAATTAAGTAAAAACATGGCACTCTAATCAAGAAAGTTTCATTACACCATTTGCCTAAATGTGAATCAGTTTTAACCTTCTGAGTGCAGGAATAAGATGCTTTTTGTGATTTTTGCCCCCCTTTTATTTTTGTATATTGCTTCCTTACAGGCTCTGCTACCTTTAATACCTCACCCTTGGGAAAATAATAATAAAATTGTGGACTGATTAAGCTTCAAAAGCCCCAGAAACACAAGCATCCATAACAACAGTTTGCAGGAAGAAAAACCTTAATTTAACATGGAGTCACACATCACTTATAGAAAGCAACAAGACAGATGAAGCAGAAAAGCTGTTTTAAAAACCTGGATTCCATGGCAAAACCACATAGAACTCAAAACTGACTCTTCATGATGCTACATAAGACTCCCACTCACTTCACTCAA